TCGAGCCGTGGGCGGTCCCCGGCCGCGGCCTCGCCGCGCGCGCCGTGGGGGCGCCCGCCGCCGCGGACCCGACTGCCAGTTGGCCTTCGGGGGGGGCCCTCGTCGCCACGGCTGGACGCAGCGCGGAACACGCAGCTGCAGGTGGGGTGGCGGCGCACTGCGACGGCAGCAACGTAGCCGCCAGACAGACAGACAACACCAGTCGACGGGTGGTGACGAGGCGAGGGAGGCGACAGCGGCAGCATAGCCGCCAGACCGACAGACAGGCCCAGACGACGGGCGGCGACGGGGCGGTAACGGGGCGGCGACAGCGGCAACATAGCCGCCAGACCGACACACGGGCCCTGACGACAAGCGGCAACGGGGCGGCGACGGCGGCAACATAGCCGCCAAACAAATTGACAGGCCGATTTCCTTAGTCAAGTAAGAACCCCTCAGCACAAACAAGGTTTGAAGAATGATCGTGAAGCTTCAAAGCCACGGATGGGGAGGCGGGTCGTTTTCATAATGCGTTTATCACTTCAGTTCCGCGCACATTGGCTTTAACAGTTTGCATCAGCTTCACAGATGGAAGGCTGGTCGCTTTCAGAATGTGTTTCTCGTTGTCCGCACATATTGGTTTCGCAAGTTTGCAAGAGCGTCACAAAAGTGAAGCGGGTTTTTTTTTTCAAACTATGTTCATCGTTTTGGTTCCGCGCACATTGGCTCTAATAGTTTGCAACAGCTTCACGGATGGAGGGCAGGCTGTTTGCAAAATGTGGTGTTTGACGCGCAATCGGATTCAAAGTTCGCAACAGCTGGATTGATGAAGGGTAGTGCCGTTTCAAAAAGATTGGTTCTCGCTGGTGCGTTGGGCACATTGGTTTTGAAAGGTTGCAACAGATTGAAGGATTCGCACGTCTGAAGCCCCAGGAATTGCTTTCGGGTACGATTTAGGATTGCCCAGACATAACAGTCATGTTGATTCGTGGTGTTGAAGTCCCAGAACAGCGTTCTGGCACGATGGAGGATTGTCAAGACGCAAGAGTCGTTCCGAATCGTGGCGATGGATCCCCAGGACTGGCGTTTCGGCACCATCGGAGATTATCGGACAGTTGTTTTGCAATGGGGCAATTTCCGCAACAGAAGCACATCCTGGTAGGGAGCTATCATAAGGGAACTTGGAGGGAGGGTGTATTGCATTATTGTTGATGCGTGTTTGGCTTACTGTGGTCCTCCTCCTCCTTCTCTTTCTCCTCCTCCTCCTCCTCCTCCTCCTCCTCCTCCTCTCTCTCCTCCTCCTCCTCCTCCTCCTCCTCCTCCTCCTCCTCCTCCTCCTCCTCCTCCTCCTCCTCCTCCTCCTCCTCCTCCTCCCCCTCCTCCTCCAAGTGTCCCACAGACTCTTCCGTTGGACCCCTCCTACCCTCCGCAGCGTGGGAATTTGCTCACCAGACCGAGCCGCGAACCGTCCACTTCCGCCCTTGCAGACCTCCAACACTGCCAGGCTTCTTCCAAGGCGCCCGTGCAACATGAGCTGTTTTTGCCGGGGGGGACAGAGACCCCACCCTGACACGTCGATTAGTGAGTTGTCCGCTTTCGGTTCTCAAGAGGGCGTCGCGGTCGTCATTTTCCAGGCTTTCGCCCGCCAGGTTTCGAACCCCGAGGTAGTTTTCACTAAAACACGTTTTACTAAATGGGGTTCTGTCCATTCCCGATTTTACAGTTTGGGAGGCGCGAAACGGTTTCCAGTGGCCGATCACGTTGCAAAAAATGGCGTCGCACCTTCGGCAATGTCCAGCTCCGAGGGATATTGGCAATGCGGTGCGTGACGATCAGGTGATCAAGGGAACACCCGAAAATTACCCTGGCGACGTACCCAACCCCTGCGCAAAAGCGGGGCGCAAATAGTTTAGGATACTTTATAAGGGGGCGATGACGGAGCGAGGGTTACATATGTCTGCAGACGGAATTCGGGAGACTCGCAGGCCATTGGCTACAGGAAAAGGGCTTGATAAAGCTGATGAGTTACAAATCCTGAGCACTCCTAGCCACTTCGAAAACGGGGATCACAGCAGGCCTCGAAAGTGGCGACAGTTTCACAGATCGCAGCCCCGCAGGGATGGCGAGGTCTAATTTGGGTCCGCGCGTGGCGTCACTGTGCTGGGCCCCCCAGCAGGCCTCGAAAGTGGCGACAGTTTCACAGATCGCAGCCTCCAGGAGATGGCGAGGTCTCATTTGAATCTGCCCGTGGCGTCACTGCGCTGGCCCCCCAGCAGGCCTCGAAAGTGGCGACAGTTTCACAGATCGCAGCCCCCAAGGGATGGCGAGGTCTCGTTTGAATATGCCCGTGGCGTCACTGCGCTGGGCCCCCCAGCAGGCCTCGAAAGTGGCGACAGTTTCACAGATCGCACCCCCCCAGGGATGGCGAGGTCTAATTTGAATCCGCGCGTGGCCCTCACTGTGCTGGGCCCCCCAGCAGGCCTCGAAAATGGCGACAGTTTCACAGATCGCAGCCCCCCAGGGATGGCGAGGTCTAATTTGAATCTGCCCGTGGCCCTCACTGTGCTGGGCCCCCCAGCAGGCCTCGAAAATGGCGACAGTTTCACAGATCGCAGCCCCCCAGGGATGGCGAGGTCTAATTTGAATCTGCCCGTGGCCCTCACTGTGCTGGGCCCCCCAGCAGGCCTCGAAAATGGCGACAGTTTCACAGATCGCAGCCCCCCAGGGATGGCGAGGTCTAATTTGAATCCGCGCGTGGCCCTCACTGTGCTGGGCCCCCCAGCAGGCCTCGAAAATGGCGACAGTTTCGCAGATCGCAGCCCCCCAGGGATGGCGAGGTCTAATTTGAATCTGCGCGTGGCCCTCACTGTGCTGGGCCCCCCAGCAGGCCTCGAAAATGGCGACAGTTTCACAGATCGCAGCCCCCCAGGGATGGCGAGGTCTAATTTGAATCCGCGCGTGGCCCTCACTGTGCTGGGCCCCCCAGCAGGCCTCGAAAATGGCGACAGTTTCACAGATCGCAGCCCCCCAGGGATGGCGAGGTCTAATTTGAATCCGCGCGTGGCCCTCACTGTGCTGGGCCCCCCAGCAGGCCTCGAAAATGGCGACAGTTTCACAGATCGCAGACCCCCACAGGCAAGACAGGAAGAGGCAGGGAGGGAGGAGGAGGAGGAGGAGGAGTGGAGACCACACTGCTCTATTCAAAACGAATACCCAACCAAGGAGGGTTGGGAAAAATCAGCGCGCCGTGTTACATCAGTGCTGCACTCCAGGCTGCCGGCTGCCCGCCGGCTGCCGCAGCAGCACGCGCCGCTGGCGCCGGGCGTCCAGCGCGAAAGCTTCGTGATGGACGGGGCCGGCTGGCTCCAGCGCGCCCTGCAGACACCTGGCGCAACACTCCAGAATGCCAACTGTTCTCGCCGAGGGGCCATTCGGACACGCACCACAGGCGTAGCGCGATCCACCGCGAGGTTGCACGTGGCTCTTCACCAGGCACGCGCGCAGGGTGCCTGCGCCTCTTCCTGTTCAATCTCCGCCTCTGCATCCTCAAGTGGGGGGACCGTCCTTGAGTCCTGACACTGCGGGCACAGACGCGCACCCTGCGCACACGGTTCGCCAGAAGTCGCAGAGCGCCGCGGGCGGGTCGCGGCGCGGTCCGGCGCGCGAGAGCTCAGAGCTGGCGCCGTTTGACGCCTCGATGTTGGAGGCGCCATCCGGCACCTCGATGTGGGCCCCCACCTCGCAGTCGGGCCGAAGGTCGCCGTGGACCCGCGCTGGCCACCGCCCACGGGCCGAGCCGAGCACGGGCGGAGCCAGGCAGGGTCGCACGGCGCGCCGGCGGGCGGGCCCCGAGGCGAGCGGGGCGGCGGGTCAGCGCGCAGCCCCGAGGGGCCGCCGAGCCGGTTGTCCCAAGAGCATGGCTCGGATATCATATTTGACGCTATTGCCGTGTCGAAAGGTGGGGGTTTTTAGGCCCGCCAGAAAGCTGGGACATCGCTCCGATCTGACAGAGAGATGCAAGTTGCACATTCTTGTAGCTAGCTTGTGATGCTTGACCTCGGAGCTGATGATGTGAGAAGAAGATCGCCGCGTCGAGGCGGAACGTGGAGCTCCCTGACTACATGTCGCCTCATCGTTTTCCCGTCCATCCAGAGCAGCGTGCCAAGAGTCATTTTGCACAGCTTGAGGGTGCGTCGGCACGTGAAGTTGACTGTCTGAGCATGCGCATTGCAAACGAAATGATAGGATCTGCACTGCACCGAAGGCTAGAGAGACGTGACCAGTCCAGTTTTGGACCACACCTCTGGGCACAGCGCAGCTGTCACATGTTGGCCCCTGGGGGTTTTGAAATCGCAGCTTCGGTTGTGTTCCGAGGCCCAGGACCGCGGCCACGTGGCAGAGCAAATCATTGAGCGTTTCAGGTTTCAAGGGGCCCCTCCTGCGGTACTCACGGCCCTGGAGGAGGTTGACCCTAACGCCCCACTAGCTAAAACTGTCTGGGGGCGTCCGTGTATCTCGAACACGGTATGGTTGACCACCGATTTCCATCCCAGTCTCCCTCCAGCGTGGGCTGCGGGAGTGGTGCGAAACTTTTTAGCGCTGGAGGAATCCATTATTTTGCACAACATGTCGGGCCGAAGTGCCCCAATAATATATCAGATCCGCGTAAGTTTTCGCAATGGGCGGATGAACTTGCAAGACACTGCAAACTCCAAGGGGGATGAAGGCTGGGGTCCCAGAGGTAAATCGCCCCTTCGCAGTCTGAATTTGCAGAGGCACCAGATGGGACTCGCCCCTTGGATGGGGACTCCTCTTCCCGTCTTGCCTGTAGCACTTTTCCTCTCCAGCGCCCACGAGGGCGAAAGCAGGAAGCCAGGGTCCCAGCCCACTGGCCGCAAGAAAGAGGCAACCGGCAGCTTGCACTCGCAGTGCACACAGACCTGCGAGGGAGGGAGGGAGAGAGGGAGGCACAGAGCCCGGGCTCCTGCGCCGCCAGGGGAAAGCGGGGGCCCCCCCTCCAG